AGTCTGAGTATTTCTTTCTTGGGATTTAGAAGGAGCACAGTCTGACAGTGCCCTTATAACACTCAATCCAGCAGAAGAAGCCCACTTCAGATCTCATCTGCCAAAGAATTTCAGCTGACAAGTTCCAGGGCAACAGCTTTTCCTCCTCTGGTCCTTGTCCTGTGGAATATTTCCTCCTAGGAGGTGAGGCTGGTCTCCAGTCTCCTGATATCTTGAGAAAGCTAAAACTTGGCTCTGCTGGTTGGCTTGGGGCCATGATTGAGGTGCACTACTTTGGGGAGTGATTGATGATGTAGAAAAAAAGATTCCCATCGCTCTGTGTCGCCTGTCCCCTTGGTTTTTACTTTCTTACTTAATCTTTCTAATTTTAAGTGATATTTAACTATCTTTTTTTACTTTTTATTATTCTATAAGGTTTCCAGAATCTTTGTAAGACATAAGAAGGAAGGCATATAAATTTAATCAATAAACAGAAGTTATACTGATGAGACCATGATAGAAAGTAAAATATGAAGCAGCATAGAACCATTAATGGTAAATACATATTAATGTAGTTAGGAATGAGGGCCATTATCTTGAATGTGATTATTAGACCAATGGCACACTCAAGCTTGATGGTATCAAATTAAATAAAGTGACCCAATTCACTTTATACTGATACTGAGCTCTTACTTTGCTTCTGATTGTGATGCACTACTGGATTACTATGCTTTGTGACCCTAGAGACACTAAGACCATGTGAAATGATGAGCATGATGCTAAGGCCATGGTGGTGCAGTCGTTAGAATGCAGTACTGCATGCTAATTCTGCTGACTGTCAGCTGCCTGGAATTTGCCTGGAATCTCACTGATCTCAAGGTTGACTCAGCTTTCTATCCTTCCGAGGTAGGTAAAATGAGGGCCCAAATTGTTGGGGGCAATAGGCTGACTCTGTAAACTGCTTAAACAGGGCTGTAAAGCTCTGTGAAGTGGTATATAGCCTGTTTCTCCAAAAATACGACCTGCCCTGAAAGTATGTCCTAGCTTGAATTTTTACACATGTACCGAATATAAACCCTATTCCCCCCAAATAAGCCCTAATTAAGATCCGGATCAATCTGGAGCTCTGTTATCAGCTGCAGAGGCCTTCAGGAAAGCCTTGCCGGCTGCAGAAGAAGAAATTCCAGAAAGGAGGCCAGGGAGCGACATGCATAAGTGAGGTTAGTCAGTGGATGACATCCCCCCAAAATAAGACCTGGTGCCTTTTTTGGTGGCAAAAAAAATATTAAGACACGGCCTTATTTTTGGGGAAACACAGTAAGTCTAAATGCAATAGGTATTGCTAAAGCACTTCAAATTGATATGTTACTTCTAAAAAAATCATTCTGGGTCTTTTCCCCAAAACATTGGAAAGCATGACTTCTTCTTTCAAAACACTTTACATTTTTACTTATACTCGTGACTATGAAAGTATATGTCCTTTCCCAATCACTTCAGGGATTAAGTCCTTTTCCAATCATTTCAGGGATGAATTAATCAAAATTCCTACCCTGTTAACTCTTTTTCCTTCGTAATGGAACTTCTTAGAAAAAGGAGTGGCAGGCGAACATGAGAGGCTGACAAACAGAACCCACTGAGCAGATGTATAATATAGTTCTCATTTTAAAACATGGTCTTATTCATAAAGGAGGCTGAATAAACAAGAAGAAAAATCAAAGATGAAGGAATACATTATCAGTAGCTCTGCCTGTTTATTTACAGCAAGGAATATAATAATTTCTTGCCCGTGTATTGAAACACAATAAATGCATACCTTCTCCATCTGAAGAAGATAGTAATCAATGAAATCTTGTGGCTCGTGCAGAGAGTGAGATTCCTTGTGTTTCTCTATTTCCTGCCTTGCAAATGCAAGGATAATATCCAGAGAAGCCAGGACTTTCTTGTGAGGGCCTGGGAGGTACTTCATTAACTGTGGGAACAAATCATACACCTAACAGAAAAAGAAGAGGAAAAGTTATTTATTCCCCACTATAAGTAAAGCAGGGAAGAGTCAAACACATCATAAGTCATGAGTCCCTGCGTGCCCACAAAAAAAAGCCTTGAATGCCTTTCGTTTCTCCCACAAATTTCCCTAGGTTGTTAGTAGCTCAGATTCTTGTTGAGAGCTTAAGCTTGCAATAAATCTTTACACTCATTTGAACTGCCTGAATGACCTGATTTCCCGGGTGCTTGACAGGAGGGTAGAGATGATTTATGAGCTTAAACTGTTGAGGGACATTCCAAGCTATTAGATGGACTGAAATAGTCAAGCTGTAGATTGTTTAATGCTATTCCAAGATACTGTATTGGAGGAGAGTCCCAATGCAGACCTAAATAGAGTTGCTTTTAGAATTTAGAAGTTTGTAGATGATACAACTCTGATTGGTCTCATTCAAGATAACGACGAATCCACATATAGATGGGAGGTTGTACAACTTATCTCATGGCACGACCAGAACAATCTAGAACTGAACTCACTCAAAACTGTAGAAATGGTGGTAGACTTTAGGAGAAACCCTCCCATACTACCACCTCTTACAATACTAGACAACACAGTATCAACAGTAGAAACCTTCAAATTTCTAGGTTCTATCATATCTCAAGTCCTAAAATGGACACCTAACATCAAAAATGTCATCAAAAAAGCACAACAAAAAATGTTCTTTCCGCGCCAACTCAGAAAGCTCAAACTGCCCAAGGAGCTGCTGATCCAGTTCTACAGAGGAATTATTGAGTCTGTCATCTGCACCTTTATAACTGTCTGGTTTGGTTCTGTAACCCAACAAAACAGACATAGACTTCAGAGAGTAACAAGGACTGCAGAAAAAAATAATTATTACCAACTTGCCTTCAGTTGAGGACCTGTATACTGCCTGGGTCAAAAAGAGGGCTGTGAAGAGCCCTCACATCCTGGACATAAACTATTCCAACTCCTACCCTCAAAATGATGCTATAGAGCACTGCACACCAGAACAACTAGACACAAGGATAGCTTTCCCCAAACACCATTACTCTGCTAAACAAATAATTCCCTCAGCACTGTCCAACTATTTACTAAGTCTGCACTACTATTACTGTTGATCTTCTCATCCATCCTTTCACCGATCTCCTCCAACTTATGACTGCATGAATGTAATTTTGTTATTTGTATCCTTATTATTTTTTATTGACTGTTTACTAGTTGATTTGATTGCTTATTATTATGGTTCCTAGTATGATTTCACTGCTTATTTGTACCCTATGACTATCATTAAGTGTTGTACCTTCTTGATGAATGTATCTTTTCTTTTATGTAAACTGAGAGCATTTGCACCAAAGACATATTCCTTTGTGTGTCCAATCACACTTGGCCAAAAACTATTCTATTCTATTCTATTCTATTCTATTCTATTCTATTCTATTCTATTCTATTCTATTCTATTCTATTCTACTCTACTCTACTCTACTCTACTCTACTCTACTCTACTCTACTC